CTTTGTGAATCATCACAGGGATGTTAAATAACCCAGCCTCAACGTACTGCACAAACACTGAAATAAAGGTATAAACCATGTGCCCATACTTTTTCCTAAGAAAAAAGTCTTATGACTCTATAGCCTCTTTACTAAGAACCCGTATCAGACAGTTATGTTTTTCAGGAAAGTGGATGTAACTTACATGCTCACATTCATGCTAAGATCCTCAAAAAAGTGGTTAAAAAGGAGCAGAGCCTGTATTAAATTAAAAATTTACTTGATTAATACCTGTACAATATTCTTGGGCATTTCAACTGATTAACCTTTAAGTACACCCTCTGTAACTAGGGTTAAACAACAAGACAAATCAAGATGTTTTTTAAGTTCATTTCTTTCTGTGTTATTAAGCACAGTGCCTCCATTTCATGAAGACATAATAATGCAAAACACACACCTGGAAAAATTGAAACAGAATCATCAACAGTTTAAGGAAGATTTCAGATCTTCTGATAGCAAGTCCTAGTTTGATGGCTATCTTCATCATGGAGAAGAAATTCAAAGTAAATCAGGTGGTGTGTTTTTCATATCTGGTGAATCAACTTGTTTGAGACTTACACAATTTGAAAAGAGTCCCTTGAAAAACAGGAATAATAATGACCCATGAATTCTAGGCGTGCTTGGAATGGGTGTGTGCTCCATATTAACCAACAAATGAAAATTTAAGCATTGTGAAAAACAGGAGTAATCACCCCACCCACTCCCTATACAACCTCTGCCAATTGTGATGCTTCCTCTGGAAGATTTTCTGACGTTCCCGGATACAGAGAATAGTGCAGACCTTTTTAATGAAATTATGAGGAGAGTTTAAAATACAGATTTCTTGTCAGATAAGTGATTTCCAAAACCAGAGTAACATATGTACTAAAAACTACAGAAAAATAATAGATTTTGTTTGCAAGATGGTCAGGGCTTTCGACAGAATTTTGCACAAACATTATTTTGAATGGACTTTTTAAACAGTATTTAAGTTTGCAAAGAAGTTTATCTTGAGTCTAGTTATGTAAACATAGGAAAATATCATTCCCATGAAACCAATTTTGAGCCCTGAGTAGGTTTGGAGTTTTGTGAGTTTTTTCTTTAACTTTTAAAAATATTTTGTTTGCATTTCTGAGGGGTGTTTTTCTTTTTTAAAATCAGTAACAGAAGTGCAAGAATTGTTATTAAAATAATTTGTTGGATTTTTTTTTTTTTGATGGTGTGATCATAGCTCAGTGTAGCCTCCAACTCCTGAGTTCATGTGATCCTCCTGCCTCAGCCTCTCAAGTATCTAGTACTACAGGCATGCACCAACCACATCCAGCTAATTTTTTAAAAAATTTTTGTAGATACAGGATCTTCTCTATGTTACCCAGGGTGGTTGTGGACCATGCAGGACCTGGGTTTTGTTTGTTTTAGAGATAGGGTCTTACTGTGTTGCCCAGGCTGCAGTGCTGTGGCTATGTTTTACAGGTGTGATAATAATGAACTACAGTCTCCAATTCCTGGGCTCAAGTGATCCTCCTGCCTCAGCCTCCCAAGTAGCTGGGACTACAGGCACGAACCACCACACCCAGCAGAAATTTGTTTTTTGATGTTACATTTGCTGTTTGTGTGTGCCAAGAATAAACATACCAATATACTACTACCTGCTAAGATTTTTCTGCCCACCATGTTGAAGGTCCACAGCAAGTAAAAGCAAATGAGATCAACTTTTTTCTTTCTCTTAAGGCTTTCTTACCTAGAACAAGTGGCTATTTACAAGATTAGTTTAAGTTATGTTTTAGTTTAACAGTTGGCTGAAAAATAGTTCTTCGTGTGTTTGTTCTCCTACCTTATGTTCTATACCACAAAATTGTAATTCTTTGAACTTAATCAAAGCCTAATGGCAGATAGAGGACTTCATTCACTCACTATTGATTGAGATTTGAGTCCTAGGAAGGTGCACAGGATTGCTCTGAATTTAATAGCTTTCAGAGAATGGTGTTTAGTCTATTTTCTAAGACAACTATAGAAAGCAACTGAATTGTGACACAAGTTATCTCTCATTACCCTGCAACTTGAGGATGGCCTGCATGGTGGCTCACATCTGTAATCCTAGCACTTTGGGAGGCTGAGGCAGGAGGATTGCTTAAGGCCAGGAGTTCTAGACCATCCTGGACAGCATAGTGAGACCCTATCTCTACACAAAAAACTAGCTGGATGTGGTGGCACGCACCTGTAGTCCCAGCTACTCAGGAGGCTCAGGCAGGAGGACATTTGAGCCCAGAAGTTTGAGATTGCAGTGAACTATGATGATGCCACTGCACTCTGGCCTGGGCAACAGAGTAAGACCCTGTCGCAAAAAAGAAAAAGAAAATAAGTTGAGGAATGAGGTTGCAGGCTGGCATTATTGTTTGCCTTAAATGTATGTTAAGAGTGAGAGTTATAATTTCAATTTTTATCTAGTTCATTACTAAAATAGCCTTAGTGATAATTAAGAAAAGTCTAGTATAAGAGTGCTTTGTCTAAGCTGAGGTATCAGTAGCCTAAGCCATTGTTTGTAGAGATAGAGAAATGGAAATAGAAGTAACTAAAATTTTGATGAATACATAGTAAAAGGTTAGGAGGATCTGACAAATAATTGGCTATGTAACACTGAATACCTAGATTTCAAATGTGTTCACTTTTAGATTTATTCAAATCGCGTGGTATTTGCTCATGATATTAATAGTTCTGGTCAATACATTGCTATAAAAACTTTTAATTCCTCTGTTTTCAATTATTTTCTTAGTCTTTCACGGGAATCTGCATAGAGACATCTCCTGTACCACCAAAAATTCCCCAAAGCATGTAATACATAACAACTTGGTAAATTAATCTCGGCATTATCCCCAAGATAATTCGTTGAAGTTACACATCACACCAGGCACAGTGGCTCACTCCTGTGACCCCAGCATGTTAAGTGGGGAGATCGTTTGATGCCAGGAGTTCAAGACCAGCCTGGGCAACATAACGAGACCCCATTTCTACCAAAAAAAAAAAAAAATTTAATTAGCAAGTCATGGTGATACACCTGTATCCTAGCTCCTCAGGAGGCTGAGACTGGAGGATCACTTGAGCCCAGGAGTTGAGGTTGCAGTGAGCTACAATCAGACCACTGCACTCTAGCCTGGGTGACAGAGCGAGACCTTGTCTTATTAAAAAAAAAAAAAAAAAAAAATGAGAGGCTGGTTCAAAGGCAGTGACTTATCTCAATCGATTGTTCACAGTTACAGATAAAACTCCTTGTTCTACCCTTTACTCCCTTCTCACTACTGTACTTGACTAATCATAAATAGCTAGATAGATAAATAAATAGTCAATGAGAGAGAGACTGAGACTGTAGAATGTGACTTCACCACACTTCTCCATCTTTGATGTCTGTCACAGGTCTTCTGGTCTAATCTGTACAGCCTCCACCTTTACCACATATGTTTGTTCAGACCTTTTTGTACATCCTTCATACTCACTAAAGGATCTTTCTGACAACTTCGCCCCACACTGATCTCTTCTTTTTCTCTCCAATTCCTTTAGCATATATCTTCTGTACCAAAAAATTTAATACTGAATTGTAAATTCTTTTGTACACAGATCAGTTCCTGTTTGTGTGTGTACTCACGCATGTGTTTTAAATCCACATAATAATTTTAAGTTCCTTGTAGGGATGGACTATTCCTTGCAGTTTGTTTTGGGTTTTTGTTTTTTTTCTTCATAGCAACTATTCAGTGACACTGAATAGGGACTCAGTTGTGTCTGGTGGTTAATAGGTAATAGGATCAAAGAAAAGTATCAGCCAGGAATTAGGAATTTGTTAGCTTCTGGTAAATATAGTAGCAAAAAAATTTCTCTTCTCCTACTCCTCTGCTTTTTATTACAAAAAGCAGTATCTGAATTGTTCTAGAAAAGAGGTGAAGTTAATTTAAATCAGTATACTTAATAGGGACAACATTAGGCGCTGTTACAAAAACATGTTGGAATACCTTTTGCTGGCCCTAGGAAAGAGTTTGGGTTTATTTACCTTTTAGCCCTCGTGTAACAGATGATTGAATAAAAAGTACAGAAAATAGAGGTGTTGATTTTCTAAGTAGCCCCAAGTTACCTTTTTAAAAAGGCCTGCAAGCCTGTCTAAAATAGAGCCTGGTAGCTTACAGCTGCCAAACCGGTTTAACAGCGCTGCCTCCCCGTATTCTGGGTGAGAGGGAGCTCCGAGTACATAAATTTATCAGAGATCACTATCCCAATCATCTCAGAACAAGTTGTTTAGTAATGTACTGGAGTTTCTGTGCAAACCATCTACCATAAACCACGAAATGATTCAAGGTTCACAGTTCCTTCTTTGTTCCTTTGTTAATCACTGACTTCTGACTAGTGGGAGGTGCCTCCCAAATTTGCTAATGCATTCTTTTTGGATAAAGATGACGCACAGATTGTCCTAATAAGGACTTAGATTGAGAAAGGACCGCCCCCTCTGAGAAGATGGGACAAGTCAGAGAGAGGGCGGGCAGTTTCTTTTTTAACTAGGGATGACACAAGCATAAGTCATTTCCTTATTAATCGGTTCAAACCAGTTCTTACAGGAACTGGTGGTGATAAATGTGGGCCTTCTCAGAAGTCATTCATTTTATTCTTTGTACCATACCAGTGTGCAGTATCAGCGGAGCTGTCCTCACTCTGAGGGCTAACTCTTCTGCCTGAAGTGGCTTCTGATTTACAGCTCTTAGTTTCTCCCAGACATGTTGGTGGGAGAGATTTTGCTCCTTTAAGGAGTTGTTAGAAGGAAGAATTTTTATCCACTTAAAAAGAGTAGACAGGCTTTCGGGAGCTCTCTGTTGCATTTTATTCCTCTTTCTATTCAATCCCTGCTTTTTGAGTCCAGGCGGTAAGTGGATTTTCTTTAACGTTTTTCCTGCTTTTCTTTCCAAATGTCTCTTTTTCCTTGGGCTACTGTACCCTGCTTCCAGTGCTGTCCCCGGCATAGGTCCATCTCTGCAGAAGCCATTCCAGGAATACCTGGAGGCTCAGCGGCAAAAGCTTCACCACAGAAGTGAAATGGGCACATCACAGGTGAGACTTTATTCTGGTTTCTTCTCCCACCCCGGGCAGTTTCAGGCTGAAATTACAGTCACTGCTCTCACTCGCATTTTTAGGCAAATAGAGTGAGGTTTGCTGGCCAGTCTTCCTTAACAGAAGTTGAGACTCTCTGTGTATGCTCTGCTGGGAAATTTGTCTTTGTCTTAAGCCGGAAAGTGTAACTTCTATTTTGTGCATCTTCTCCCAAAAACAAGGGTAGTGCTAATGGAAAATAATGGTTCTGTTTTGTAGCATGAGTTGTTGCCTTGATCTTAAATGATTTATTAGTAGATAAACTTCTTGAGTAGACTAAAAAGTTAAAATTTACAGCATAACAAAGTATTAGACATTCTGAGGTAACTTGAATATCTCCCTTCATTTTTGCTCTATTTTACTTTTCAGCTATGGAAAATGATTTTTTTTTTTTTTTTTACAAACCAGGGCTCTTAACATAGCTGAACTTTAAAACTTTAACTTAAACTAAGCCTGTCTTTTCTGTAAACAGTCCTGTGGCAAGGGAAATGACTAGAAGAGGATGAGTAAGCAATAACCTGAAACGGGAAACTTGAAAGAAGCACAGTTGTTTTTTTAATGGCCTTACCCTCTTCTTGTGGCCCTTTGCTGCCCTCAGTTGACCAACCGTGACCTCAGAAATAGATTTTTATATTTTAAAAACGGCTCCTAATACTGGAACAAAAATATTTAACTGTCTTGACAGTACTCAGCAAGTATGTGCATGGCGACTTCAGAGAGTAGAATTAATCAAAGGCTTTATTCTTAAGTCGTAGTTAAAAAGAAAAGATGACCTCACACTCTCCCCCATTCTAAAGTCTATAAATCAACGTTCACTTTATATCCAACAAGTGAAACCTTGATGACTGGAATAGCTGAGTGTAAAAAGGCCTTGAATGTAGGTGTCAGGGTAGCTGGGGACACATACTTTTCATGTTTAATTGTTTAGACTTTATCAGTTATAAGCTTCAAGTTCTCATTTCTTTAAAAGCGTTATAGATGATCCCCTTTTTACTACTGAACTAATGAAGCCTTTCTCCTTGCATTGTTCTGCATTTATTCCCGCAGGGAGAAAACTGGTTGTCCTGGATGTTTGAGAAGTTGGTCGTTGTGATGGTGTGTTACTTCATCCTGTCTATCATTAACTCCATGGCACAAAGTTATGCCAAACGAATCCAACAACGGTTGAACTCAGAGGAGAAAACTAAATAAGCAGAGAAAATTTTTAACTACAGAAATTAGAATGGATGGGTTCTGCCTTAAATTGGGAGGACTCCAAAGCAGGAAGGAAAATTCCATTTTCCAACCTGTATCAATTTTAAAAACTTTTTTCCTGAAAGCAGTTTAGTCCATATTTTGCACTGACATACTTTTCCTTTGTGTGTTAAGGTAAGGTATCCACCCTCAAATCAATCCCTGTTGTATTTTATTAGGGTGGAATGTGATGTTCAGCAGCGAACTTAACAGAAACCGGCCTTCTGTTCGTTACTTCTCAAAAGGCCCACATGGTACAATTAGAGAATTCCCACCACACAAAAAAAGTTCCTAAATATGTCAAGCTTTTGAGGCTTGTCACAAATGATTGCTTTGTTTTTCTAAGTCATCAGAATGTATATAAATTATCTAGGTTGGATAACAATCTTGCATGTCTATCATGGTACAATTTATTATGCTATCCTGCCCAACCCTTCCTTTCCCACCCTCAAAAAAGGCCATATGATGCATTGCACACCCTCTGGGGAAACTGATCTTTAAATTTTGAGACAGTATAAGGAAAATCTGGTTGGTGTCTCACAAATGAGCAGACACCATTTTTTATTCTGTATATTTAGAATGAAGTCGTGAAAAAACTTTATAAAGACATCTTTGATCATTCCAAAATTGTGTCCGTTTTCTTGAGCGTTTTGATTTTTTACTTCCTTTTAGCTTCTACCTACGGAATGGCAGCCTTGCCAAATCCACCTACAACCCGGATTTCTTAAGCCTTCATTTATTTGCATGAAAGAGCCACCACCAAGGCATCTTTTGTTACGCTGAAATTGGGCGGCTACACACTGCCAAATGGCACCTCTGGGATTGGTCTAGCCTGGGGATTTCTTGGTTTTGAAAACTGGAGAGGAGAGGTGATAATATACAAATCAAAGGACTTTGGAGAGAGAGATTAGTATTTTTAATGAGTGTTTTTCTAAGCCACACTTTATCGTATCTGTGTTAATTTTTGCTAGCATGTACTCTGGTTTTAACAAATTTATATGTAACTGATTTTCTTACCTTTCTGTAAGTGTTTTATTCTTAATGTGATTTTCTTTTCCTTTAGGAAAATTGATACTGACATTATGTCAGAATAGAATTGGGGTTAAATCTCAACAGGCTAGAAATGCCTGATTTGTTTTATCAAATCCTGCCTGAATGTCTGCTTGTTTTGCCTACCGTCGTGACATCTCCATGGCTGTACCACCTTGTCGGGTAGCTTATCAGACTGATGTTGACTGTTGAATCTCATGGCAACAGCAGTCGATGGGCTGTCTGACATTTTGGTATCTTTCATCTGACCATCCATATCAAATGTTCTCATTCAGACATTACCCAGCATCATGGTTTACGATCAGAAACTCTGGTCCTTATGTCTAGTGGCACTTAGACTCCTTTATGCCATGATATTATAGCAGTATAGAGAGAGTATTTTATGGGAAATTGGGATAGTCTCCACGACCACAACTGAATAAATAAAGGACAAGTAACTGGCCTTGTAAGTTTTGAAAAGATTATACTTTTTAACAGTCTTCCCCCTACCACCAGGGACTTCCTAGCAATATGAAAAGCAGTACTCAAATGCTTTATTCTAAATAGATTCACATTAACTAACACAATATTTTAGATTCTTTAGATAATTAGTCTTGAGTTCCTAAGTCAGCCTCTTATTGTGTTTCATCTCCTTCACCTGCATTTTATTTGGTGTTTGTCTAAAGAAAGGAAAGAGGAAAGCAAATATAAATTGTACTATATTTTACTAAATCTTTGGGGTTTATTGATAAATTGTTTCAGGGTAGTATATTACAAAAAGAAAAACTTTGTTTTCTAGGCTGAAGGTCTAATTGATAAATGCATTTGACTTAATGATGACCATTTATTCACCATCTTTCAAATGAATTGGCTTTGAAAACAAATGAAGAGCAGCTCTCCTTCTTTCCTCCTTTAAGTGTTCCGGTGTGGCATGCTCAGATGTTCCTGCTGGGTTCCAGCTGGAGCGGTGTGATGTTCGGTGGTTTGTTTGCTCCTTTCTTGTATGAGACTGTATGATCCCGAAGATACACAGTACCTAGTTAATTCCAGCTGACAGAGACCAGAAAACTTGCAAGTAGATGGTTTGATACTACTGTAAATAAAAAGAGGGCCTGGGAACTCTGATTCCATCTCTGCTTTGTATAAGTCTCATTTTGTGCCTTACGCATCTACAGTGTTTTATTATGTTCTAAGTGACTCTCAAGCAGTATAGTATGTCAGCAGTTTATACACTTAAGAACTGACGAGCACCTCCCTTAAAACAGACAATGTAATGTGGAAAAGTGCAGTGTCCAGGCGGGGTGTGGTGGCTCACGCCTGTAATCCTAGCACTCTGGGAGGCCGAGGCAGGTGGATCGCTCAAGGTCAGGAGTTCGAGACCAGCCTGAGCAAAAGCAAGACCCCCGTCTCTACTAAAAATAGAAAGAAATTATCCGGACAACTAAAAAAATATGTATAGAAAAAATTAGCCGGGCATGGTGGCGCATGCCTGTAGTCCCAGCTACTCGGGAGGCTGAGGCAGGAGGATCCGTTGAGCCCAGGAGTGTGAGGTTGCTGTGAGCTAGGCTGACGCCACGGCACTCACTCTAGCCCAGGCAACAGAGTGAGACTCTGTCTCAAAAAAAA